GAGTGCTTGTTCTGCATGCATTTCGTATTGGTGAGGTTAAGCTTCAATCCGACACAGGAAATTTTTTATGCATCTGTCGGATTTTCTGTTCGAGCTCGATTGTGCCCTACGCGAAGAAAATGCGGTCGTTAGCCAAGAGGGAATGCAGCAGCGCTCTGTCGATATTGATAACGTTGCACCATATTAGACAACAGAAGACTGACTGCAGGGAGCTTCAGTGAGGCGGCATCTACTTCTTGCATTTCTCAACAGATACTGATACGCCATGGCCCGTTGATCAGCTTGATGCCCGCCGTATAATCGGTGTTGAGTTCCTCACTGAGGTTGACGTAAACAAAATCTATGTATTGATGGAAGGCGTTTAATGCAGCCATCAACTAGGTGAAGTCGAACGACTCTTCTGTAGTTGATGAAAGCGTAATCGAATAACACCTGAAACTTCCTGCAGCTGCAAGACCATATTACTAGCACTCAGAAGCACTCACTAGTACTTGTAAAATCGTAACTTATTTTCACAATACAAAAGTACTGACGCTGCGCTCGACGTCGATCGTCGAGTAGTCCATATCTTCCTTCGTTTCGGACGCGCTTGGAATCTGTCGACTCTCGGTGACAAAAACGGATGGCACACGGGTTGGCTGCAGCGGCACCGAGCGCTCTTCAAATTCGACGGTATTTTCGTGCTGGCCGAGGTCCCAAGACTAGAGAAACAGATGACTACGTGCTGCCTCCTAAGAAACAAATAACTGCACCCTGAGGACCATTTACCTTCAGTTTCTTGAAGTGTCGCACTCGACCCAAGTACTTCGATTCGCAGACATAAATATCTTTGTCTTCAAAACCCTGAAACACATTACGTGCGTTGGCATGTTAAAGTGCAATGGAAAAAATTTAGAAACGCGTACTTTCGCCCGACACTGGAAGAAATCCTTCACGAACATGACATAACATCGACCCATTATACGGCTCGGGTCGATTTTATCGTAGAAGTCTGTTCGGAACACCTCCTGCAGTAAAAACAATGAAAATCTGCAATAAAAAGAAGATATACAGAGCTCGCAGTACTTTTTCAAGAAATTTTCGAGTAGCCAAATGAAACGTTTCATAAGGACGAAAATACCAGTTTCCAACGCATATGCATTTTCCCTTCTCCGTGCCCATCCAAATTTCTTGCAGATGCATTATATGAGGACTGAGGTTCTCTTCGGTCGGTTTCACGTAAATGAAGTCACCGATCGCGTACCGCCTTCCGTTCACTTCTATTGATCGAACCTCAGTATCGCCTTCCTGTAAAGAAAATTTTCACATAGCAAGTTCTTCGATATACAGATACATATGTTGTAAACTGGCATGAATGTCTTGTAAACAGACATGAAACTCGAATATTTTGTTAATATTGACTGAAAGTTGGTGAACCATTTCCGGCTGTAGCTACGTGCGACCTATCTGTCAACGGATTTTGCTATTTAAATCGCATCTCATGGTTTTCCTGGAAAAGTCTCTGTCGACACTGAGTTTGCTGATTTTCGATGACAGTTCAGCATCAGCTTTTTCGCAGCTGCGAGAAAATGAAATCAAACAATCGCAAACACGCATGTTTTCCAAACAAGAGTTGAGTAATACAAATTCGTCTGCTCGGCACTGAAACTAGATACATGAGCTTTACCTGCATATTACACTAGTCACGTAGCGCTTGTACATTACACAAGCAGATGGAAGCCATTTAAACAGATTAAGTCTATCAGTTAATTTTTAAATGACAAAAGTTATAACAAAATCAAGAAGTTTAATTGCAGTACTAACCGACTGGCAGTGCAACAGACTAAAAATAGCATTCCCAAGAGGGGAAAACCAGATTTACCGTGGTAAATCTGAAAGTCAGAATATTCAGATATAAATCAGTTTGGATTTGACCTGATTATCATGCAGAGGAGCAAGGCGGAGAAGAAAGTCGTCCTGCTCTGAACTTTAGGGATTTAGTTCGAATTCTAACTTGAGCAAAATTTTCAAATTAACTTCTAAACGTAAGAAGATTATGGTCATCATGCCTGATGCTTTTCTTTAGACTCCAGCCCACCTAATAACTGACTGAATCTGCGCAAGGTGTAACACGCAAATAAGTTCAAATGAAATTTTTCATCTTTCTCATCGAATATTTAATAATGTTTCATGTGACAACCTTTAAACTGTCCAAGTAATGAAAAGGTATTCATAAAATTGACATTTTTTAACATTTATTCGTGCACTCAGAGAGAGAAAGAAAACTGCTAAATTTACCAGGCCTAAATGAAGGTTTGTCAAACGATAATTCACAAATGATGTTTCAGTCTGTATCTTATGTACCTTCTTGCAGATACCCATATATTGCCTAGAAAATTTATCTGGAGTTCTAACAGTCTGTTTGGATTTCGCATTCAAAACAGTGATACGGTCTGCACTCTGCAATCACACTATAACGCAATGTAACCGTAGCTTACATAGAAAGGTAAAACGAAAGTTTGTCAAAGTTGGAATGAGACGGTATTTCCTCATTTTCATGACTGGACCATTGTGGCACCATTCTCTTCATGAAGTCGATGGCGTAGTGTTGATCTGTGCCTGCTATCAACCAGGAGAGCCTTCTTTTGTAATGCAGGATCTACAACCGCGTGACAAGCACAACGTATAGTCTCCTACTTCCTTTCCACGGAAGGATACTCATTTATCAGCCTCACAGGGGCGAATGACCTATCGGTTCTCAGTTCGACGCTGAACTGGGAACCGCAGTCTAGTTTACTTAGAAGGTTCAGTATAGCATTAGAAGTGAGGCGCTACAAAGACGCAAAAATAAAATGGACATATGAACAAAATAATCTGCATTTACTACACAAATATTTGTTTAGTACTAAACTACACGGTATGTTTTTATCGTCCTTTAATTAATTGTCCCTGATGAAAAGTTTACTACCAATTGTACGCGTAAACAGAGGTACACAGGATAATGCATGAACAGATCATTAACAATCTTAATGATCGCAACTGTCCTTCGGCGAGTTTAATTATTCTGAACTCCACCCCTTCGCCTGAATTCAATTATAAAATCTGCAAGACTTATAAAACAGCTAGGTCAACATGTTTATAATTATATACGCAGACAGAAAAACCGCGATTTCAGGCAGATACGGATAAAGTGGGCTTTCAGAGACGAATCGTTCACTCGCACGTTTGGATATTGTCAAGAGTTCCGATATCTGAAAGAAGCTTAGTGAGAAAATCGAGAAGCCACAGTTCCGATGGCATGATAAAAGAAGGCGAAACAGCTCTATTTGCCCGCCTGAAAAAGACAAGTGACTGGACGAACTCTGATCACGGCTTTGGTTATCTTTTGCTCCAAAGCTGAGACTCTGGCGAGGATTCATATGCGTTGGAGCACGGTCTGACACCGGTGCTTCCTCCATCGGAAAGGATAAGCGCTTATCGAAAGTGACCGATTGATGCCTCCGCTTCATGAACAGGTATAGTCACGAATTTGCTTACCATTGTACGGCAAGAGTATGATTAATTTCTTGATATCGCAGGATCTTTTTAACAGGATATATCCATATTTTATGCCTAACTCCTACGTGGCACTTTTGGAACTCGGGTGTCAGACGAAGATTTGTGTTCTGACGCCTTGTCCCGCTCTAGCCAGCTTAGGAGATAGCGAATGTTTTACATGAATAACGTCGGATGTATTGCAGCATGTGCCCTACTGCACAGTTTCATCATTTGTCACATGACGATACCAGGAGCAAGAAAGGTATTGCAGCGCCTGTACACGTCCCATGACTGACCAATGACAATGGCAAGCATATGAAGAGGGGCCGCCAAGAATATACTGACTGTTATTCGCATCCCTAGAGTCGGCATCTGAAACAAAAACTTGCATGTTGACTCCTGTCCTCTTTCTACCTTTCGTTCCATAGCAGCGTCGGTTTTTGAC